AGGAATGCCACAGAGTCCCCCCTCCGCCCCTCAAAAAAACCTCCAAGAGCGCTCTATATGAACATAATAATACATCTGTGAGTTGTAGGACCAGGACCTAATAATGTACAAATGTATGAAAGTATTAAAATAATTCAGGCAAGAGCTAACCAACTGTCTTAATAAGAACATAAAGAGTATATCTAGTTGTTAGAGCAAAATAATTGGAGGCCAAAGACTTGAGTTCTATTCCTTGTAGCTTCACCAAAATCCTGTATATGAACATAATAATACATCTGTGAGTTGTAGGACCAGGACCTAATAATGTACAAATGTATGAAAGTATTAAAATAATTCAGGCAAGAGCTAACCAACTGTCTTAATAAGAACATAAAGAGTATATCTAGTTGTTAGAGCAAAATAATTGGAGGCCAAAGACTTGAGTTCTATTCCTTGTAGCTTCACCAAAATCCTGTTGTGTGGCTCTAAGCCAGACACTTGACCTTTCCACACTTTAATTTCCCTGTCTGTTAAATGGCAATAAGAACACTTACATGTTTATATTATTTTATTTTACATTCTATGTAGGCATATAAATTTTTGTTACTCTTTCAAAAGTAGAAAAAAAGTCAGATAATCTTTCAGGGCTAAAATGTATCCTGAAGTAAGTCAAAGTCAGTGGCAAATTTGGCCCATTTTCTTTACAAGATTTGCTAAACTAAACTACCTGCATAGCTATTGTCTTTTTTTAGAAGATTCCCACTGCACTGGAATGTACACAGAAGTTGTGGAGAAGCTGTCTGAATCATGGATATTATAGATGGAAAAGGCCTGCCTTTTGGTCTATCCAGATCATCTCCCTGCCAATACATGATTGTTCTATGCTGCTTTATGTGGTGCGTTTTCATTTGAAATACACTTGTGGTATTCACTAGGTATTCTCTTATCGAGGGTTTCCCCTCAACAGGAGTATACATTATAAGGTAGTATGTCCAATTATTATATTTTCTATGTTAGAATTGAAGTTGTCCTAAGGGTGGGCAGCATGCCATTCTCTGCTGTTTTACTATTCTTGTATTATTGAATGGATTACATTATTCTAATAGAATTAGCTTCAAATTATACATTTCCAAGTGAAATATAGTAACTTTAATAAAAGCCTACATTGCAAAAGTGAATGATAAAGTCTGTCAGTGGCCTTATACAAACGTGGCCTGACTTTTCCACTTCAAGCCTTTCCCCAGAAATGGATTTCCTGCATAGAGGATTAAGAATCTGCCCTAACCACGGTAAACACTACAGAAACTTCTTGTATGAACTGTTCCCATTTCATTATCTCTCCCTTTCTCTACCTTGTACAGAAGTGACTGCATCTGGAACAGCTGTAATTACCCATCCTTTCATGGGAAAGATCTCATTTGAAAGAAGCTATGTTTTTAAATTCCTATTAAAGAATTAGGGTGTAGAAAATATTTTCCTTTGATTTATTTAAAAAAAATAAGAAAGCCAATCAAAACAGCTGTTTAGAGAAATCGCTGCTGGAACAGGGTAGTCTTCAGAGATGTACTTCTGTCATCTTTTTTAATCTCTTTCTAGAAACAGCAGTTTAATAATGTTCCTCTGAAAGTACAATTCAAATTGGAGTTGTTATATTCAGTGTTAACTTCCCAGGTGCTGAATATGAAATAGCTTCCTATTTAAGTGTTATTTAACTGTTTTGAATTGCTGAACATCAGTAAGCATTGTTGTTTCTCTCATTGTACTGCATTATTGATTTGATTACTTTGACACTGGAAACTACTCCTTGGAGGTCATATTCAAAACCCAGCTCACAGATGAAATACAGTAACTGGTCTGTATGCTGGAGAGGTCTATGCAGTTGAAGGGGGAAAAATGCTCTCCTCCTCCCCCCACTCTCAGCCCCGGTTACAGTTAAACATCATTGCTGATACTCAGCTGCAACACAGCCCTAAGTCCACAGTATCCCCATTGTCTCCTATACCACCTTTGTGGGAAGGGAATAATATTTGATGTATCCACATATTCATCCACTTCCTTAAGTGAGGTCTCAGCAGCTGCCCACTTCTTCACAGAGTGCAAGTATATAGGTCAGAGCCTCCCATGTTTAGTGGAGGGGAGTTTTTCCTAATTGAAAAAGAAAAAATACTGAGATCTGAGACTACTCACACGCATTAAGCTGAGCATCATAAGATGACTAGATAACACGTGTGAAAAATTGTGATGGTGTAAAAGCTAATAGGAACCTACAGGGGCGGATATAGGGCAGGGCGAACGGGGCGGCCGCCCCGGGCCCCGTGCTTCAAAAAGCCCCGCGCATGCGCCATGGCAGAGGGCGGGCCCTGCGGAATTACACTGCCCGGGGCCCCACAAAACTGTCATCTGCCCCTGGGAACCTATATCAGAAAAATCCCCAAATATCAGCACTATCCCTATAAAATCGGTACATCTGGTAATGGTAACCCTAGACTATGTGTACTTGCAGAAGCAGATCTACAGTTTGCTTTTATAGGCCATTCAATAAGCATTTTAATATTAGTACTTCCTGTACATGTGCATATTAAATATTTACGTTTTTAAAGTTAATACTTAAGATATGTGTTTGCCCGAAAAATAGTTACTGTTGGCTCTGAGTGAGATGTTGCAGTCTACTATGTAAATAATAAATAATTTGAAAAATTTGTGTTTTATAGGTACCAGCAATGTTTACATGGTTTTCTTTTGAAAATTAACTGTAAACAAAAAAATTCTGAAATTAAGCTTTCACACGGTGTTTACATATTCCCAATCTTTTATAAAGAGATAGTGTACCTATTATAGGCAAAATTAAGTGTGTTAAGAATTAACTTTTGAGTTCTTTGTTTTCCTGCTCCCTGCCCATGTCAGATACTTAAGGAGAAATGTATAACATCATGAGCTGGACTTTAACAAAATACTTCTGTTAAAAGCTAAATCCCTGCTCAATGTGCCTAATATGTACCTCTTCTTGTTACTGTGATAAAAATTATGTCAGTATTCTACAGTAATGGCCCAAACACCTCCTACAATAGTCATATTGCTTTGGCCCATTAGTATAGACTACAATAGTGTTTTTATACGGTTACTCTAATGTTGCTTTATGTGACTATAACATAGGCTGTGTCTACAC